TAAACTTATTTATGCGTTGCCCGCGCGCGAGGCAGTGTCTCTTACATTGTAAAAAATTACAAATAATGTAATTTCAGGGACTACGTGCTCGGATTCCGCCGCGTCGCTAAAGATTCACGCCTGGATCGTTTCGCGAAACGGTTCGATATATTTTCAACGTACGCGAGAACCAAATTTACGATCGTAAACTTCTTCGTGTTAACGATCTATTCCCGCGTTGATTAAATATGACATAATCGTACTTAGTTTCAGCTTACGACTTGTATTTTAATCAAAGTTGCGATGGTTTCTCATCGTGTTGTTATCGAAGCTTGACTCCTTGGGTCTCAAAATTATTTTATAGAATGTTTTTTTATATTATAAGTCGATGAACTTTCTTTGGACGCATAGAGTTCGTTTCAGTCGTGGAAACGAGAGGCTCGAAGGTTCTCGTAAACTTTGGTAAGCGGGTTTACGTAACGTTAGGAACGCACAAAGCGCGATTATAAATCCATTTCATAACGTAAACTGTTAATGCCGGATACAGGGGCGCGTACACACATCGAAAGTGCAATATGTTCGCGTTAACGCATCCGCGTGCTAAATACGGTATAATCGTATCTTACAATCGTACGAACGATACTGTTGCGCGTTTGAGCTTTGTCGCTGACGTCTGAATCGTAATTGCACGCGAAATATTGTACTCCGCGATGGGATTTCCTAATGCGGGAATACCGTGTAAGGAAAGATAAACTACCCCACATTAGGATGTCTAACATCTTCCAGCATCTCGCGGAGGAATGAGCCAGTTGTGTAACGGTTTAATAGCAAGAACTATATTACCCGCGTAAAAGAGCGGGAATACAGCTTGCGCGATCCTCCTCGCGCAACACAACTCCCCGTACGTGTTCGTGAATGTTTCACGGCGCATTTTATATGTTAATTGACGCCGCAGTATGTTGGCGAGAATATCTTCACCGCGGAAAGAAAAAAGAAAACGCTGTTTATCGACGGCGGATCGTAATTTGCGAGGGTGCGCCCTGGACGTGTTACGAGAATCTTCCTCAGCGTCTCTGCCGCGTTCTGAACTCTGCAAAGTAACTTATCTCGTTTAAGTGCGTCGCGCAGCCGGGTATTCCCGGGCCCAAAAGCCCCGGAAATTTAGTATCCAAGGCTGTTGAATGCGTTTGGTTGAAATTAAGAGATCTTCGTTTATTTTCGATTTCTGTGTTTGTAAACAGTCGCGTATATTTTTGCACTATGGAAGCTTTTCACAAAACAGTTTTTATTTTGTAAAAACAAAACTAAATTCGTTTATCAAATTCAACGTGTATTGTTAAAAACTAATATTTACGTTTCCTGTAACCTCAAATATGAGTCTTGGTAAATCTAGCGTCGAAGAAAACTGAGAACCTTTTGGACAACTAGTTATGCAATAGAATAAAATGGAGTGGACTAGGAGGTTAGCAGGCGTCGATGTTGCGTGAACCGTGGTTCCTCGAGGCGCCATTACCGAGTGAAAATATTGCACCGTTTTCCGAGCATTAACGAACAAGTTTCGCGGGTAACATAAAGCGTCGCCTGCTCGTATATTAAGTCCGGGGTCTGAATGTTCTATGAACGGATACGACAAATCCATGCTTCGGTTCTGACCTTCTTTGGCGCGACAGCGTGGGCGCATTTACTTCAGACGGAATTACAGTCCGCACTTACTCCATCTTACCTCAGTCATTTCAGTATAAGTAACTGCAATCGTGAACCGTGACCGTCGTTCGTATCATCTGGTTTACGTAATTACACGCACACCGGCGCACCGGGGCCCCTCGGAATCGAAGCAAAATCGCCCCGGAAGTAATTCGTGTAATCGAAGGTCCCACAATTACGGAGTTTAGAATTCGTCCGGGGACGCGGCAAGGAACTGGTTTTACCTGAATCGTTCCCTGTAAAAGAGATTGCACATTATCCGGGACAGCAACAGCTAAGGAACATTATTTCAGAATGTTATGTCGCTATCACGGAAAGTAATAATTGTTGTTTCTCGCGTTATAATGAAACGGAATGCTTCTACGACGTTCGCGAGACGGAAGGCTGGAATTCGGAACGATTTCGAGCCTCCCGACTGTGTCTTACCACTCCGTTTGCTACGGAATGTCCCCTCTAAATCTAATTTAAATTACCCAAAGCAAAGTGGTAATTCGAATTTTTATTTCCACCTCGAAAGTAACGTTCAAATTTTTCCCGGATATCTGAAACGTTTATTTTTGTTCCTCTTCGTCGCGTGCGAAGAAATTGAGAACATCAAGATCTATACGATAGATCATCCGTGTAGTTTCGTATTTAGGTGAACGGATGAAATTTGATATAAGAGGCGTTTAAGTAGCATACAATGTCGTACTAGGGAAACTTGGTCAAAAGCCAAAGAATGTAAATTACTTAGACGGCTGGATGTTTCTCTATGTAGAATGGTAACGGATATGCAAAACTAGAGTAAAGTGCTGGTGGCCGGTTGGCGACAGGAATAAGCATAATGTTCAATAATAATACCTTTGCAATCAATCATATAACTTTTACTGCTGTACAGAATAGTTTCCGTAGAAAGCTCGCATACGTAACTTATAATGAAACGACATAATTGTGAAAGAAATATGTTACGTAAATTTATTGCTTATCGTTGATATTAAATCATTGGTACAATGGCACGAATAACAGTTTTTTAGGGAAAATATATTGTCCACTCTTGTGCACAATCTTAAACAAAAATGTACAATTTATGGAACATCTGCATTATTAGAAATATTGTCAAGTTTATATTGGAATTCAAGTTATAATCATAATAATGGTTGAACGAATGAGCTTATACGGGCAAGTGATTGCTATAAAATTATATGATCCATTAAATTTTTATGAAATATTAATTAAAATCTGAATTTAATGCACGATGTGCTTCATCCTTAATTATTTCTACACTATACATATCATTAAGTGCATGAAATATTACGAGCTGCAAATAGAGCAATGGTGTAATAGAATATACACAACAGTAAACGCGATCGTGTATTTGAGTTTAAGTGTTAATATTGATCCCAAGAAAGATAAGGAATTTCTCCCCTTCTCTATGTGCAATATTTATAGTATATCCACTTCTAATCCGTTCACACGAGTATGCAATATTCCTAACAACTGTTACTTGTATCATTTTGTATTTTACTCACGCTTCAAACATTTTCTAACATAGTATTTAAAACTAATTTGCAAAAGATATCTGTCATGAATTATATGTTTTCTTGTATCAATAAATCGTAATTGAAATTTTTCTATTCAATATCTAGATAAGAATTTGGTTCATCTACCAAAGCTGTTATAACAATGGAGCTTTCCATAACTGCCGTTTAACCGTTTTCTCCTGCACCTTAACATTGAGATTTTCTAAAGCCATATCAACGCGCATGTGTTATAGATTACATCCAGAGCATAAAGAAACAAAGAAATAAGTATAGTGTAGTGTATTGCTGGTACAATCGGGCAATAGAATCGCAGTTTCGTTGGTTTTAACGGGCAACGCGTTACATGCGTGGATCGAGTAAAAGTGCAGATGCTTGAACCTTATCGTTTATCAACTGATTTAAACGACGTTGAAAGAACTGTGCAACGCGCTTGCTTCCGCATATAGAGCTAGTTTATCGCGTATCGAAACCCTGACATAAACTACATCTCGTTCTCGAAACTTTAAACTTTCTGTTTGCATAGTTACGGACATTTTTATGGTGGCGCGTTAGCATTGATATCGACGCGGATAAATGATATCTACATTTCTCGACCTCAACAGTTTACTTCCTGTTTGCACGGGAATAGCGGTCGTCACGTTCCGCGCCGCGAAATTTTATAAATATATTTTGTTTCCTCATCCAGCTGGCACTAAGCTCCAATCGAAATGGCGACACAATTTAACGCACATTTTTGGCTACAATTTATTGCGTCCAGCCCCTATGTTTGCCGGAACATATTTATGTTACGCTAATATAGCAATACTTGCATGTTTCCCCAAATTTCCTCTTTCGAACGCGTCGTTAACGTCGCACATGTGTCATAAGGACGCTTCCTTGAAATTATGTCTATCGTTTATTTTCTCGTGGACATTGAAATATGTTGGTAAACCTCTCGTAATCCTAAAACAGTTTCTCGTTGGTTCTTTTTATATCTTTGGAATAAGAAGTCTGTAGTTTCGGTGTAACTTAAATTATAAATAAGTAATTGTTCCAATTATCGATACATGCTTATCTAGAGGCCTTTTGCTTTCAATTCTACGCCTGATCCAACGATTATCGGTAACTTTTTCTCTTTGGATTTTGACCTGGCTGGAATATTAGCCTCTATCATTTCTAGCAGATGTGAATGCAAGTCCAAGTTGCAATTTTCAAGGATTGCAGAAATGCAAATAAATATGAGCCCTTAAAAAACAGCGTATAATAGTTGCAAAACAATATTGTGTACCTAACTTAGTCATAATTCATTAGAAATTCTATAAAGTGTAATACAATTTTCAAGGATTTAAGAAATGCAACTAAACATTACAAGGCCTCAAATCCAGCAACAATTAAAGATAACTTACGTTATAATAAAGTCATGCATACTGATATATGAGTATTTTTAACAATAAACGCTTATTTACAATTCCTTTTCATCTTTGTTACATTGAAATAACATACTTGAATAACACCATGAAGAAGAAAACGCTAACAATTTTTGAATCGATTTTGTCAAAATGGCGTGTTTGGCAAGGGGTTAAGAGCCCAGCGTATAATAGTCCTAGATTAGTGTTAAGATTTTTATTAGTTCTGTAAAGTGTGTGTTGACTCGTAATTGTACCCCCGTTGACGTTGGATGGAAATACGAAATCGAGTCGCGTCCATTGACAGAGAAACCCGAATGAGCGTCAGAAATGTCTCCCCCCGATCGAAGCGGTGCCCCGTTCGCTCGACGGAGCCGCCCGCGCACTAGACCGGGAGTCCGACGGGGTCCGAGGTTGGCCGAAGCTGGACGAGCGCGGACGAATAGTTGGCTCGAATCGCGCTGCCGCGATGCATCGGTTCGAAGCGCGCTCGGGCTGGCTGTCTCACTTGTCTCCCTAGTGCGTCTCCCTAGTCGTTCGAGATTCGTCCTCTCTCGTTCGTCTCTTATCGCGACGGCGCGTCGGGTTTTTCGAAAATACGCGCGCTACCACGACCGGCCCGGTGTCGTCGTACGACGCGACGCCCTCGACTGTCGGCCGACGTCGCGACGCTTATCGTTACCCGTTGTCGCGGTTACGCGAGACGAGGCCGCGAGAAACGCGCCACGCCGCGAACAGTGGAGTGACTCGATGAACTCGTCGGCCGCGTGACACTTGAATACGACCGACGACGCGCGCGTGCCGTCCATCGAAGAGGAGATACGCGGTTACGATCGTAGCCAGTGACAGGTTACCCGTTGCGTCCAACGCGACGCCTCGCACGCTCGTGGTTTCGAACGCGACGTCGAGGTCGTTCGGGGTGCGTCGCGCGAACGGACGGAAGACGAGAGGTGTGAAACGTATGTGCCAATTCACGGCTAACCTTTACGCGTGTGCGCGCGCCCGCCGCGTGGCTTTCCACGACGTGAAGTTTCCGCGGACCCACGGAGCACGCGCCGTTTCGCCACACGAGGAAGCTGCCTTTGCATCGAAAGGCCGGTTCGTTCGCAAACTGGAAAACTCCTCGACCAGGCCCGTTATGGATTCCTATTCGATGGTGAGACGCGTTCATATCGTTATTGTCGAATTTGTTCGATATTTGTCGATATTATGATACGTTATTAGAATACGTGCATTGACAATATCATCGACCATGCGCGGTCGATATCGGGGTGGTGATATTGATACTAATGTTGATCAAAGTCAAAGGTAAATACTACATGTTAATATAATAAGTGATTCGTGAGAAATTCAGTGCTCGATTCTATGACGGTCACAAATCAAAACGTGAAACGAAGGGTTAATGTTTGTATCAGATAATTTTGAATGTTTTTATTCGTGATATCCCATTACAAAGTTTCTTCTGAGAAGTGAAAATTTGGCTAATAATAAGAATTCTCGATTAGCAATTGCGTAGATTATTCGCAACGAATAGAGACATTTCTTCTTATTTGCAGCAGACATTCGATCGGGTGCAACGAGCGCTATTATGTCATCAAACGCAATGCGTACAATGGGCGACTAAGTATCAGGAGCGCGTCGGATATTTTCATAATCGTGAACGGAATGATGATAATGGCCGTCGTAATTTACGATTCCTGGAAACGGCTATTACCGGCCCGTGCAAATGTAGCAATTCGCGCGTTGTCGCAAAAACGCGGCGTCGTTTGGGAAATCACGGTATTCGTTGCGATCGACGACACTGATTTATTTAGTCATTAATTCTTGGAATGACTTCTTTATACTTACGAGTAAAACGTATTTATTTAATTCGCACAGTGGACACGGGTGGTCTTCCAGACATTAAAAACGGAAATATCAGAATTAGACACGAGTATTAATACTCATTGTTATGGTTGTTGTGAATTAACAGTTAAACACGTCTAAATAGAATTATATATTATTCTGATCTGACACATTTTATAAATTTAACAAAATTTTAATTTATGAGATGGGAATTTCGAGTTAAAACGCGTAATTTCTAATTCTCCCAAGCAAAGGCAGCGTTCGATATTATCGAAGCAACGTTTGAAAAACTAACAAGTAGAGCGTTAAATGTTTAACGAATATTAACGAGACAATGCTCGCCTTCTTCTGTTTTCCCCGAAGCGCGCGTTTCAAGTCGCGGGGAATGTTTTCCGCAAAAACATCTTCAAACGAGTTCTCGAATCGCGGAATGGCCAAGATCGAGATGATTAATTCCCGCGACGAAAACCAGGGGGAACGACGGGATTAATTGCGAAGTTATCACGATATCTTCTCCGTGTTGTTCGCGGTTAGGCAGATAAATCGGAGGAGCAGATCGCGAGGTAAAATCGTGTTGCTAACTGCTGCACCCGTTAAAGATGAGGTCTACAGGATGAGCCGGAAAGATAATGATCTCTTCTCGGGCGTTATCTTGATCTCTGCCTTGGAGGAACACTTTCAATGCTCCGATTTCATTCTATTTCGTACTACCGACTTTGCCATTTTTATTCAACGCACTATACATATATATATATATTTCGCGACTTTCTAAAACGCAACTTTCGTGCTCGTGTCGTAAAATTATATTACTCGGATTAAACGATAGTAATTATCGCGTGCAACGGCGATTAGAAAAATAGAAAATTTCTGGCTCGATACGAACCGTCGCACAGTGGCTAATTTCATAGATCTAAGTGGACAAATTGAAAATATTAATGTTATCGAAATAGCCCCAAATCCAATAAATTTATTTCATATACATTGTAAAATGCCTAACTTTATGAAAATCGTTCGATTGCTAGGTAAAATAACACTGTATTCATTCATATTATACGGACAGTTTGTTATGTCGATAGGTTATTTAAGTCGAAAGCTATTATACATTTGTAAATATTAAATATCTTTTGTGTTCTGTGATAACTTTTGATATGGTTAATAGATAAGGTAGTGTCTAGCTTGTTATACTTTATTAGTTAGATGAAGAAAAAATATTGAAAATTGCTAGAAATAATATTATAAATTCTTGTTATAAACATTCTGAAAGATGGGCAAGATGTAACCGCATAAAAGAGTTCTTGAATAACAGTACAGAATGGTTAAAACAAGAAAGAGATTTTCAAAATCCTATATCATCATCGTCTTCATCATCACCATAATAATGATAATAATAATTATTATTATTACTATTATTATTATTATATTACGATACGTTTGTATTATCGTTAAAACCCGTAAATATGTATAAAAAAACAGATAGTGGCAAAAAATTCATAAACATGTTTCTTCAGAAGTTTGTCCATCCAGATCGTTTAAATTGCCCAGTGTGAGTCGTCGTGAGGAATGTGTCCGCTTCCGATTTCGTAGCGATCGCTATGGAGGACGGAAGTATCGGGTTAGCAGGGGAATTTGACATAATTAAAAAGGAGAGACGCGCGTTTGGTCCTGTCGTTTTGTTTTATTTAACGAGACGGAGAGTCACAAAGAAATTCCAGGCTCGTCGAAAGGTCAAGATTGAGTTTATTTAGTTCCAGCTGTCCGGGACGGGGAACGAGCCGCAATTAATCGCGAAGCTATCGCGATATCCCCGGAAGGGGTCCCATAAACCGGCAGAAATAACCCGTCGGAATTTAACGCGATACAGAATCGTGTTATTAGTCAGCATGGACGGGCCTGGGAGGATATCTCGGCCGAGTTCATCGAGCGAGGCCGGAGCTTTACGTACGCTCGTATCAGCGCAGCTCGTCGCCGTGCGCCGGCTATTATTTCGACCTTCTTGCGCATTCCTCTCCGTGATTGCTACCTGCTTTTTGTTTCCTTCCTTCAACGAAATCCTTGGAATCGTCCGTGGATGAAGTCATTTTGAAGGAAAGAAACCGATGCACCTCGAGCAGCCTTGCGATCACTGACAAGTATTCCGCGCAGCCTTGGAATTTTTTGGATCGCTTATCGCGATCGACGAAATCGGGGCTGTGTTGATAACCGATCCAGAGGCGTGAAACTTCATCTTTGTCGCGTTAACCATCGTTTTCGACACAGTGCTTCCGCGTATATTTATTCACTTTCCATTTTCGTATTTGCCAGGTGCAAGCTAACTTCAGGGGTTGGTAATGCGAAGAGACTATCGTAATCGAGCTGAAAACTTTCGAATTAATTTGAAGAATTTATTTACACTCCATATGTGCGGATGCACGATACCGATAAATATAAAGAAAGAAGATGCGAGATCGCGATTTTACGTAGCGCGAGGAACGCCGCGTCGACGAGTATGCTTTATAAGGTGCTTGTTAAATTTTACAACCGCTCATTATGCCCTTGATTCCGGTAAAACTCGAGGAAATAATAATAATGCGCGCTGTTAATCTGCGTTTCGATACATAGTCAATTTAAAGACGGTGAAAAATTTGCTGGTCTTTAAGGAAAACCGAGATGCCTACTTTCTCGTGCAACTAATTCGTGCTCTCCGCGAACCGGCAAGATAAAATCTGAAAATGACCGTAATTATACGTATTTCTTTTGTTCCGTTTTAATACTCTGTCATAGAAAAGAAATCACTTTGGGACTGTTGAGCGCCGAAGCAGCCTCCTTTCATTCTTAGGCGAGGTTTATGGTAGGGCAAAAATCCTTCGACCGCGTGGACGGTCAAAACTCGACACCTGCTTGACAACACAAAGCCCTACTATCGACCTCCAAATCGAAAACCTAGGGAAAGTTGACCTGCAAACCAAAAACGGCAACCTTTCTCCAACGTCGTTCTACCAAAGGCATGATTCTAGGGGTGCTTGGAAGGTAGGGACAACCAAGAAACGAACACCTGGTTTTGATCCGCCATTAATATCACATCAACCTAAACTCTCAAACATTTATTCAAATAAAAACATTCACAGTCATTCAAAGAAAAATATTCTCATACATTCAGAGCAATACAGTTCAACTCACACTCAATCTACGAATAAATACAAGTCAACTAGAGTCATCGTTTTTTTATTTTACGATTCTCCGTTTCTGTCATTCTCGCGAGTGTCAACGCATCAGAGACTATAATCACTTTTGAATGATTATATGCAGGTATCACATTTTGTATCGATGCCCACTTTTTATATTAACCCTTAAGTGGACTCTCAATCTCAACAGAATCATTTTACTTAACGTTGATTTTTACCAAATTGGTAAATGGAAATCAACTTTCCTTTAAAACATTTAAAAAATAACGAACTAATGAAGGATTACATAAATTTTCAAATAATTACATTTACATATATTAAATAATTGTTAGTTTAATAATAATAATAATTGTTACCTGCAGAGGGCCTCAATAATCCATTTAAGGGTTAAATCATGTAACTTGTACTGTGCGCCCGTGAGAAGTTGGCTAGTGGGACGATTGAGGAGTCAGGGGAGTATTTTGCTAGATCCGCCCATCCCCACTTCTGTCGTCGTTTTGTTCAATGGCGTCAACTTCAAACTACAATGAGAGCCTAAGCACTAATCAGACTCGCGTTCCTTTCACTAGCCAACTTCTCGCGGACATACAGTACTTGGGGCATCGTTCTACACTCGTTGCCAGTCAGTTACATAATCTATTCTAACTTTCTAACTCACAAATATCGCCTCTGTTTCGTTTCACTTTTCCGTAATCAACAAAATTGCTCGTCATCGGTAAAAATTTGATTCTTTTTTTAAAAACGAGAAACTAGGGAGTTGGATTCTACAGCCTCGTATCTCAGGATCAATTTGTCAAAGTCTCGTGTTTGGTAGGTACGACGACCATTAAATCCTCGAGAAAATTTAACGAAGACGTAGGAGATCTTTTGTTCGCGGACCTTTTGCTTTATTTCTGCACGGTTATATTCTCAACCGGCGATCTCTCGCGTTGTTTCAGCGAGACTGGACGAAGAGAAACCGGCGCCATCGATCGACGATAAACGAGAATCTGTATCCTCGTTCCCTTGTCTTCTTGACATACATAATAAACCGCGTACCGACGCATAATTCCTCCATAAATTATCGGCCGGATATATTCTAATTCCGGCGCGTGGGTAAACGGTCATTATTGCAGCGTCGCGGCGACACGGAACGAGTCGCGTTGCGTGG